GGTTGTTATCGAACAGTATGACATTGGTTTCTGAAGTTCCGCAGTGGGGATACGAGTCTTGAAAATCAAGGTGATAGATGACGTCTATCTGCAATTGACAATCAACATCGGACAACACCAGTCATACAAAGTTAATGTCGAACTCTAAGAAAGCTGTATCAGATAATGCGTGTCAGTATTTCAACAATAACTGATCACCGCAAGAAGTGAAAGAACCCCATTGATTGATTCCATGCGGCCTCAGTGCAAGTTAAAGATTTCAAAATGGGTGTAGAGATGCAACTACAGCACAATACACCGGCTGAAACTGCAAAATACTTAAAAAAGACAGCAAAGACGAATGCAACCGACCAGATACAGAAGCGATGGCAAGATAAACCGCTTCATGGCCAATACTCTGCCCGTACCAAACAAGCTGACGTAGACAAAACCCGTACCCATCAGTGGCTACGTAGTGCAGGGTTGAAAGCGGAAACTGAAGGTTTTATCTTTGTTGCACAGGACCAATGCTTGCTAACTAGGAATTATCTAGCACATATATTAAATATTGTGTCAGCCCAAAATGCAGATTCTGTGATAAATATCCAGAAACGATTGATCATCTTGTATCAGGTTGCACGATATTGGCACCCACTGAATATAAAACCCGACATGACAGAGTGGGCTAATATTTGCACTGGAAAATCTGCAACTTCTACGGGAAGGAATCTGAAAGAAACTGGTATGAACACCACCCAGATCCGGTTACGGAGATAGGACCTGTTACAATTCTATGGGACTACACAATACACACTGACAGAACAATCAAAGCCAACCGCCCAGATATTGTTATTAAAGACCACAAACAAAAAACGGTGCCTCCTTATTGATATGGCAGTCTCTGCTGACAGCAATGTATATTTGAAGATATTCAAAAAGCTGTCAAAATACAAGGACCTTGAAATAGAAATCTCGAAAATGTGGCATATGGGAACATCAACAATCCCTGTTGTAGTTGGAGCCCTAGGACTGGTTGGAAAAGATTGCAGTAGACTAATTGGAGTGATTCCTGGAAGTCTATGCCTCAAGGAGATACAAAAAATTGTTCTGACAAGTACAGCCCACACTTTACGAAGGGCTTTATCTGTTTAATTTTTTTCATCATGTTTGAAGAGATTTTCCAGAAATCTCCGTCATTTAGGAGGACATATATCAGTATCCTTTCCTTTGTTTCTATCGAAATATCTACAAAAAAATATCTGCAACTAACGTTGAAACAATAACTTATTTTATCATAGTGTCTTTTTTTTTTTTTTTTGCTTTTTTCACAGCAAGCAAGGCGATAATGTCACGAGGACGCTAGGGGTTACTGAGAGTTAAAGCGAACGATGTGAAAGGACGCTAAAAGAAGACGGAAAAAAGAAAATGGAGATTACATTCAAACTTTAGAAGATTGTAGGAGGCAGGGAATCAAGAAATTGTCAAAGCGAATAAGAAACAGGCAAGAAAATGAATCTGTTAGAATACAACACACGGTTGCGTCTTGCTAGGTCAACAGTAAATCAGTGGGAACTAATTTCCAATCTAGTAGCACGTTTAAAGTCATGCATTCTAGCCAACAAGGAGGTAAACTCAACAAAACTTTTGCCATGAAAATATTTGCATATAATATATTTATATATAGAAAGGCAGAGAGAAGCCACAGTACGTCGGTAAGAAAGTGACTGACACAGGCACAGACACATATCTATATATTCTTATACACAGACTCACACACATTAATGAACACATACATATATATATATATATAGAAGGGAAATATCTAAATATTTATTTATCAGACAAAGTAATGGTGGTGAATAGAAAATAAAAAAATTATGAGTTCAAAAGCCAAGCAAACACAGTGTATTTGGATATATACATACATATATATATGTGTGTGTGTGTATAACGGGTTTTTATTTATTAATCGTACAAATTTAATCACTCTAAACGTTATTTTAGTGTACAAACATAACTGAGCAAACGTTCTGTTTACTTATTACGCAGTATAACTATTTATTTTCGCCTCCAGACTTGAATATTGGGAAAACCTTATTGCATAAAAATATGCGTTCTCCCGCAAGATTCGAACCTGCGTCGTCCTTTGCAAGCGAAACGGTCGTTAGCTCCGACGTGTTTTATACTGACTCTGCTACGAATGTCGTCAAGCAAGCAAGGATGAATAGTGATCGTTTAAAAGACATTATTCGGCCTTGCTTCTTATGTAATTCGATTCTCATATAACTTGGACTGCTGATGTCTTTTCTTAATTATATACTTTCATTTTCGTCATATAAAATGTAGTCGCGCGTAAATAATCTAGATATTAACCTAACCTAAATCTGTCAATGTGTGTGTGTTTGTGTATGTGTGTTTGTGTAAACATACACCCGGTGGGATCAATAAAACCACACCTTGAAATGCAGTAATCACCTGAATTAGCTCGGGGTAACTCAAAGTGCAAACTGGTCTCTCTAATAATGATATGAAATTGTTTTATGGGGAGGGCAACTTTGAATTTAAAACCGGTTGGACGTGAGTCTTCCAACACTCCGCCAACCCCGAAAATCCTATTTACTGTGGAAATAGCAAAAGATAGCGTGTGGTAACTCTAGCACTATACACAATCGACCGATACACGAAGCACATTCTAAACTTAAAGCTAATGCCAAAATACATCCGTTTTTTTTAATTGAAAGCAAAATTCAACAAATTTTATTTTTGTCAAAAATCTGTCATTTAAATGAAATTTTACGCTGATGCATTAATGAAAGAAATTTATACTGCGTTGCAATGTGTCATTACTTAGTTGAGTTCAGTGAAATCTCAGAGTATGTCCAGCTGCAGATTACTACTGCATTCTCTCAGACGTCCGCTGAAGACAGTTTTTGCTGTCTCGCTATTTACCTCTCCACAGGTCGGGATGTGGCACAAGGCCGTCTTTTAACGTGGGACGATTCCAACCGCCTAGGCTCACGTAAAAACTTCCCGTAGACTCCGTAATAATGCAATCAGGTTTGTCTACCTCCCCAGACGGGACTGTCCATCGCCATAGCCTCATCTAAGTTCCTCCCTGCCCGGAAGCAGAGAGGTCGGCAAGCAGAGCACCGGCAAACACAGAGGTTTTGTTCTCTCCCCTGTACAACGTGCCGATCCCAGTTGTACACGTGTGGACGTCATTTCCAGAATGATACTGAAATTTATTTGAAAGTTTTCACAAATCTACTCATGCTGTTTAATAACGTTTCGTCGCCATAATGTTAATTTTAGAAATACATTAAAGAAATCATTTGAATACCATGAAATAAGTTTAATGTTTTTAACTGACCTGAAAATTATTTTCCCCGGATTTTTCTAATAAACTTTTCAAATAAAATAACATTAATTCAAAAAAGGGTAAGTGCTGAAATTTTCATTAAAATTGGAGAAATTCCTGATTTTTGATTAATTTCTTTTTTTTTAAGTTTGAGAGTGGGGTTTTCACATTAACGTGTGCTGGATGTTTGATGTCACAAATGCTTTATAACACTGCCAGTGAAAAGGAATAAAAAAAAAGTTAAGTTAAATTAACGATTATTCAGTAATATCTTTATATATTTTTCTTGTTTATTTTTCTTTGAATAAATTTTCCTATGAAAATAATTAAGGCAAACTCGTTGTTGCAATGACATATTCAGATATTAATCGTTGATAAAATAGTCCCAAAATAAAACGATCTTTGTTTTTATTTTTACTCTTATATTTCTTTTTTTACATTCATTTTAATAGTGCAAAAATGAAAAAATTGCTTCTTTCAAAATTACATAAATATTAAACACATGTAAGCATTTGTTTCTTCTTCAAAGAAAATAAATTGTAATTTTGTTTTTCCGAATTTTATTTGATTTTGGTGTCGATGTTTTGAAAGTACGGGACAGGTATATAAACAAACAATTATTTGAACGTATTTACAAGGGAACAAAATTCATCAATGGCGAAAAATATATTTTCCTTATAATTTAATTAAAAGTAATATTTTACAAAATTTAGTTAATTAATTCATAAACCGACTATTTGATTTTTAAAATAATTTAATTTCTATTGACGGCATACATCAAATTATCAAATCGAACTGGGCGGTACCAAGTTTGTATTTTTTAATGTTTTGTTTACAAAATATCTAAAATAATTACTTAAAGATTAAAAAGTATTTTTTACGCGAATAATTTAATCTATAAACCAAAATCTATCATAAAAGAAAAAAATTAAAATATTTCAAATACGTATTGTAGTTTCTTTTTTATATGGAAATTCTATGGGGGTTCTATCGTATTTAGTGACTCTTCTTGCTTAATTTTACCTTTTATTTTTTTCGTCTTTTTCATTTTTTAAAGGTATTTACTTTTCTCTGATGTCAATAAAGAAGTTGTTTAACATTTAGTCAAATATGAATACAACTGTTTCTAAAACGATTGTTGTTTACAAAAAAAAAGCGCAGTTTGAAGGATAATTCGTAAACTATATCTGTAAAAAAAGGAATGTATTTTTCATAGTCAAATAGCGTTAAACTTTGAGAAAAACCTACTATACAGCTGGTGGTATTTACGTATTCCTACCGGTACTAATATTAGTAGAAATGTGCAAATGCTACCAAAAAAAAATATATCAATTGTCATGGTAGCAGATAAAAGAGAGATTTAGGGAATACCCTTAAAAACATGTTTCTCACCTTTCCACTGATCTTTTCAAAATGTTGTCAGACAGGCCAATTTGTATCTTGGACGGTTGTTTCAACTAGACTGGACGCGTGTAAAACGGGCACTTCTTTGTACTTGTATTATTCTGGCAATAACAGATAGGGTTAAAAAGCGAAGCTTTCGATATCATATGAAAGGCTAAGTAGATGTTAAAGAATCAAGTCTTAGTAACCTAGATTTTGATTGATTTATTGTCAATGGGACAATCTTGGAAAATTTGTAAGGTGGAATGTTTGACGAATA